GTCAATGTCAGTTAATCAAATTAAAAGGTCAATGTCAGTGAATCAGATAAAAAGGTCAATGTCAATTAATTAGTTTGAAAGGTCAATGTTCGTTAATCAGGTTGAAAGGTCAATGTCAGTGAATCAGGTTGAAAAGTCAATGTCAGTGAATCGGGTTGAAAAGTCAATGTCAGTGAATCAGATTGAAAGGTCAATGTCAGTATATCAGATTGTAAGGTCAATGTCATTAAATCAGGTTAAAAGGTCAATGTCAGTCAATCAGGTTGAAAGGTCAATGTCAGTTAATCAAACTGTACATAAGTGTAAAAAAAATCAGTAATTCAATATTAGAGCATCAGGTTGACAGTTCAAAAGCTGACAACTTAACGTCAGTAAATCAGCATATAAATGTCAGTGAATCAGACTGACAATGGTCAATGTCAGTAAAAATAGGTCTGAATGTATTGTAAAAATCAATTTAAAATTTCAATTAAAAAACAAGTACATGCAATCAGGTTAAAAATTCATTGCAGCTGTTAAAATATATCTTACTTCATTTTAAACGATTATCATATTTCATCTGTTTAAAGCCGCAATGTAATAGGAAAGTGTTATAAATCTGTTAAAAAGACAGAGATCTAACCAGATTTCTTTCAAAATCATTACCAAAATACAAATATGAAAGTGACATTTTCAATAGCGATGTTAGTTTTACAAACATACATCCAGAGGGTCCACTCTATCACTGAAATTATTATTTTATTTTTTTATTAGTGTCCAGCCTGTCAATTTCAATTTTGAAAGTGGATCACATAATAATAATCCCTATGAAGATAATTTGCTCTTTATTCTTATCAAAAATTGTTTATGTGAGGTAATCACAAACTGGTATACTTTGCTACAGTTTAATGAGAGTTCATTAAGGTCAAACAATCCATTCCTCTTATTCATTAAATCAACAATGCAATGTGAATGATAAACAGTTCAATTTCAAACAATTATCCCGATAATACATCACACATTAATTATCATTTTATTCACATTATTATATGCTTATACAAAGAAATTCAATGGAAATATCTAATACTTTTAGTATTATCAATGGAATTATCTAATATTGAACTACATACAATGGAAAAAAGAGACAATTATTGGAACTTTATTGTCCTACATTCAATAACATATGTATCTATATTCAACAGTCATTGGAAAAAATATTGAACTACATTTGATGTGGAAGATCATAATGGATAAATATTCAATGGAAAAGTAATTTACAAGTTAATTGGATTATTTAAAGTAATACCTAATGGCAAAATGTGTGAACATTTCTTTAATTTATTCCAACAGTATACACTTCTAATCTTCACAAGGAAAGACTGTAAATCGTGTTGGAATCTATGATATACATTTGTACCCAGCAAGAATATGACTGCACAAAAAAAAATCCACTTTAACTCTTAACCTACCGGAAATCATAGGCCAGCCTGCACATAAGAGCTTCTTTCTTTGGGACTGTTCATTATCAACTTTGGTGATGTCAAGATGAAAACTCATGTGAGTCAGCTAACTAAATACAGTATTGTCAGAGTGCATTCATGTACACGCTACTATTGCTATATACTGCTGCCGACAAAGGGAAATCACTCTAGCTGACCAAGTGGAGTGTAAGGGCTTCACCATTAACCAGCTGGATCTGAAAGTCTTTAGCCGACACTATAAACCCAGGACAGTTGGTAAATCACGGCCGATTGACCTGGCTTTACTGTGTTCGCTAGACTTATTTTGAATTTTCAACTTGATATCCCACAAAAATTGATAATGGACAGTCTAAAATATAGAAGGCGGGCAAGTTCATTTAAGAAATTTAGAATTTGTAAAGAATAATTACATGCCAATAAGTTGAATAACCATGTAATAACAGCCCATGACAAATACAAGTCTATGCTGCCATGCTTGTATGCATTTTAACCATTAAAGTAGCATGCCTCCAGATTCATGCTAATTTTCTTTAAAAATTTGAAAATGTATTTCAAAGTTAAATATTGTGAAATGAACAAAGAAGGATAATTTCACATTGCAAATGTCACTTACAATCAAAATGAAATTACCTAAAAAATGTCAAAATATGCAAAAATAGAAACAAGGTGATAAATACTGAAAAATCGGTAAGTTAATCGCACAAAACATGTAAATTATAACTTGAAACTTTAATCTTTTTACTTTTATTAAAGTCTTAGTACATTTTTATCAAGTTTGATTTTCTTGAAATATTTTGGCTCATCTGGAGGCATGCAGCTTTGAAAATACACTTCACTCCAAAAGACATAACAACTTGCATAGCTTGATAAAAAGTTACTATTTACACTATGGTATTTACATAATTATCTTTATGTATATATTAATAGTTAATTTATTTTTCAATATATATAGATAGATTTTAAATCAGTATTTTAAATCATGTGTGCTGCAGTAGACTCAAGTGCTATAATTGATTATTTTTTCATTTTTCAGACACACAGATGTACAATTAAAGTTACATTGCAATGTTCCTGCTTTAAAGAGGATCCAAAATGCAACAAATCAATACAATCAAGACTGCCTGAGCGACCCTTGAATTAAACTAGACCGTGTCTTATACAATCTTTTTTCAGTCCAAAATCTTGTATACAATGTCATTTATACTTAAAATGTTGTATACAATGTCATTTATATACACTGTCATTTACACTTGAAATCTTGTATACAATGTCATTTTTACTTGAAATCTTGTATAAAATGTAATTTATACTTAAAATCTGGTATACAATGTCATTTATACTTGAAATCTTGTATACAATGTCATTTACAATGTCATTTATACTTTAATTCTTGTATAAAATGTCACTTATACTTGAAATCTTGTATACAATGTCATTTATACTTGAAATCTTGTATACAATGCCATTTATACTTGAAATCTTGTATACAATGTCATTTATACTTGAAATCTTGTATACAATGTCATTTATACTTGAAATCTTGTATACAATGTCATTTATACTTGAAATCTTGTATACAATGTCATTTATACTTGAAATCTTGTATACAATGTCATTTATACTTGAAATCTTGTATACAATGTCATTTATACTTGAAATCTTGTATACAATATCATTTATACTTGAAATCTTGTATACAATGTCTGGAAAACAAAGCACATGTGTATGCTGCAATATCTAACATAAAAATTATTACATAATTTAACACTTTGCACAAAATATATACGCTACAGTGTAGTATAAACAATTTACACAATTGCTGACTCAACAGAAACTTATGTTATTGTATTTTTGCACAAAGTAAGCTTTGCAGGTCAAATATTGTAACAAATTTAATTAACAGTTTTATATTAAATATGGCCAGCATTATCTCAGAGATTTGTATATGTTCTACAGCATATCATGTTATTTGGTTTTTTTCTAATATTTTTTTCTGAACGAAACTAAATTTCAAGTTTTAAGGATTTCAAAAGTCCACAGTAATGGCAGCATTAACATATATACAAATGTTTAATAGTGACAATAAAAGTATTTTGTCAAAAAAGGATACTTATTAAATTTCCACATGAAAGCCTATATCTTATAATTACAAGAAAATTTATTTTAAATAACTATGTTAAATGGTGAAAATCCATGAAAAAAATTGTTATTTATTTATATTTATCAAGTCAGAAACCTAAAAAGGTGTGATGCACTTCGTGTATTTCGCCCCTCCTCGTCCCTAATGAAATGGATGGACTAGGCAACTTATCAGAATAAAAGAAATTTAACAAAGGGTTCTAAAAAAGAAGTCAAATACATATCCATCCCCTGGTTTGTGTGAATTCATATAAAAATTATTTCCACTTCAAATAAACATAGAAATATAGCAACACTTACAGCATACTCTAAAATATCATCAAGATGTACAATTCTACTGAGCAAATCCTGTATATATTGCTTAATAATAGTCATTTAAAATGTATACAAAAATAAACTTAAAAATTCAACAATTTTTTTTAAAAATACATCCACTGGGAAGTCACAGTATAAAAATTGCCCAGTCTTTATTCAAACTAATCAAGTTTTTTTTCTAAGACATCAAATAAACAAACAATAAATAAAATAAAAATAATGATAAAATAGTTCAGGATGTAAGATAATAAACATAAATATTACAAACTTAAGTAATGCTTCAGTTAGGTAATAGTTTGACACTTATAAGGATTTTTATTTTAAAAGGAATATTCAAACGGCTTTAAAGAAGTGACATAGGTGCCACTGTAAATGTGTAAAAGGTTTTGTTCTTTTCTCTTATCAGAGTCTAAGTAAATTAGTAGTTGACCTACTTTTCATAGGCATATGAAGTGTTTAAGATATACTATGCTCAAATTTCATATTTGAAAATATTTATAATTGCTACACAGTCTTTTTGTAAATATAAAATAAACGTGTTTTAACTTCATCCGAAGTATATATGCTGTCTTTAAATTCTACACACTATAGATAGTTACAATATGAATATACTGTATCATTAAAAAAACTGACATTTTTTTTAAGACAAGACAAATTTTATTTGACCTGTAATAGGGAAGTCAGCTTACAATACATAATTTATTCATTGTTTTATTCAAAATGGACATATTCGGTAAGAATTACATAGATTTCAATAAATTTCTGTGATAAAAATATTTTACACAAGGGTGATGTCCTGTTAGAATCGAATAATTAACCCAAAACAGTGATTTTATTGCCAAATAAAATCACTGTTTGGAGTTTGGATGCGCATCATTATAACACTCGAGTTACGCCCTTGTGATATAATTTCTTGCATCCAAACTTCAAACAGTGATAAAATCACTGTTTGGGATATATTATTTCTTAATCAACATACTTATAAAACAAAAAAACTGAACAAATATTAATATCATATTAAGAAATTCAACAATCATACCAAAAACAAAACTGTGAACTTTGATATCATTTTATGTTTAGCTATAAAAATAGTAATGACCTATATTAGGAAAAAAGAAACTTCTTGAGTATGGTAATTCTAACTACGCCATTTATGAAGAAATATACTTATGTCTAGCAACTGACCAGTCAAAAAGAGGAAATCAGACACTGACCTATATATGCAAAATGAAACTTATGAAGATGATAATTCTAATAATATACATATGCATACACATTTTACTATGCATCGGCTATTTCCTTAGGTTTTCTAGTTTTCCTTAGAGAGTACTCTTCCGATGAGCCCTTGAACCTAAGTGCACTCAGGTTCAATTTGGCTTCCAGCTCAAATTGTCTCTGCAGCTCCTGTGCTAGGAGCCGATCTTTCTCTTCCTGATCAATTTCATCAACATCCTCGTCAAAACTACAATTGCTATTGTTATTGTTGTTGTTTATGCTAGTAAAAAAGTCATGCATAGTTTGTACAACTCTTGGATTTTGTTTTATCCGACGACTTTGCGCATTTTTCAGTTTTCTAGACTTCACAGGCTGTTTAGATTTTTTGAGACCTATTTTTGTTTGATTGTTTTGACACTTACTTTGCGTTTTAGATTTTTTCTTCGGAGACAAAGCACACGAGTCTGTGGACGACAATTTTCTCTTTTTAAAACTTTGCGTAGAAAAGCTAGAGTCGTCACTCACATTACATGAGTCATCGTCCTCAATTAGCAACACTTTCTTACATTTCACTGAATTGTCATATACAAAGTCAGGGTCTTTGTACATTTTATGGCTGCGTCTAGATCTGGGGCTGTAGTTGTTCGCAGAATCGTCGCCTAAATATTCATCCGAAGTTGACATGCCCAGCATTCTCTTCTCCTGTAGTTTTTTGTCACCATCGACTTCATCCATCCTGATCGCAACGATACCATCTCCATTACCACCCTTGTCGATACATAGGGGATCCGATTTCTTCACCCAATTCATTAAAGACGGCTGTGGACCTTCCATCGTGTAACGCACCTTAGACTTTGATGTCCGACTTCGCGACAACTTAGCCACCCTCTTCTTTGCACTCTCGCTAAACTGAACTGGACTGACTCTTTCTATTTTCACTGGGGAAAAACTACCGGTTATACCTCCCCAGTCGTTCTCCGACAAATCTGGTTCTAACGGAATGATAAGCTTTCTCGACGGATGAGAATCGTGCGTAGTTAATGGCGAGTTTGATATATCTTTAAGTTCGACACTGCGGCTACTAAGGTATGATAAAGTAGGTTGCCCCGGAGCACATGTCTGTTTCTTCTTGGGGTTAAGATTTTCATCAGGAGAGGTTACCACACCAGTACTTGTTGATTTACTCATTCTCTCCACCTGTAAAGATTATAAATATCAGTACAATTATGCAAAACTTAATATATATAAACACATAAAATTTATCACTTTTAAGCAGCCTTCAGCTTTTCTAAAGGTAATCTATGTTATTTTTAGATTATTTGTTTCGTATAATTGTCAAATCAAAAGAATTAAGGTGGAAAATGAAATTTGTCGATAATAAATTACATAAACAATAAAGAAAACCCTTGATGCCTCTAATTTCCCGAACCTCTCTCTACATTTAAATTAGTAAAGCAGATGATTTGTTTCCCGATCTTTATTCTTAGAAACGAACATCACTTAAGCGTTAGAAATAGCTCTCAGGACGCTTTTAAAAAAGGCTTAACAGTGATATGATGCGCTTTTCCAAGATAAAATTACTGAAATACTTAGTTTGAAAGAACACAGCATTGTTTTTCCAACAGAAATTAAAAACTGAAGGCCGCTTCAACTGATATTTGTACTTGCTCTACCTATGATGCTAAAGACATTACAATTACCAAAAATCACAAGGACCGGCCCTTAGTGAAAACATGGCACTTAAGACAGCCTGAATAAGTTATGCTAAAAATTAAATTATAATTGAAGATTCAATAGTAGTCGGAGGTCACTGATTCAATTCATTCACACAACAAAATTTACTCCTTAGTTTGATAGACTGGGTATTACACCAAATGCTCGGGGAACGACAGCCTAGTGGTTAAGATAAGGTGTCTGCCTCTCAACCCTGGTATCATGGGTTTGAGTCCTGCTTTGGTCATAACCATGTTTCTTCATGACACCAGTACTAATTGATTGCAGGAAGCGGACTGGAAAATGAATAATACAAGTTGCAAGAACTTGTTTTAGCAATCGAGGCTAAACAAAAATATTTAAAATTCTAAACTAAACACCAATTTCAACACAAACTTGGGAGATATCTCGGAAGATATCTACATAAACCAACTTTCCTGGATTACTTACCAGTAATTAACAATTTCTCTCAACAAGTTACTTACAACTATTCTCACACATGATTTCTGAATCAGTGGCGAGTGATAAAAAACTTTTACATGGGTAGTTAAATTCGTAATCTGTTTATTTTTCCAAACGGTAAAATGTAAGAAATGCTATGCAAAATAATCTGACAGCAGATGAAATGAAATTTTGTTGGATCTTAAATTCCTGGATTGACCTATCCACGAAAAAACACAATTATATTAGTGCATCAGGAATAATTATGATTTTGCAGCATTAGAAAAGGGACTTCATCAAAGACGTTTCACACATTTACCTGATCTTTTCTTTCATCTGCGAGCTGACTCAGTCGTCTCTGCATCACCGGACTTCCGGCATCTATATCGGACATATTGGTCTCCACAGGGGATGTAAATCCTGATCCACTTAGATTTCGAGGAGTTGTACGGATGAGTTTAGGCTCGACAACTTTTCCACTGGGAAGACGTCGTGGCGGTGTTAAGGGACATGAACGTATTGGGCGGAAATGATTCAATTCTTGAGTTATACTGTCTATACTATGAGAACTTACACTTCTTGGGAAAACAGTGTCATCTGAAATGGCAGAAATTAATTATGATATTAAAAAAGAAATCTTTATTCCTCCATAAAGTAATAGTATCTTGACACAAAGTACACATGAATATGCATTGAATTAAATTAACATTTCATTTAAATTCAGAAGGCAGGTCTGTATTTTATAACTTATGAGGTGATTAAACTATATCTATAGCTCATTGATGTCATTATGAGGTGACCTAACGATATTTATAGCTCCATGGTGTAACTATGAGGTGACCTAACTATATTTATAGCTCCATGGTGTCACTATGAGGTGACCTACCTATATTTATAGTCCTTGATGTCAATATGAGGTGACCTACCTATATTTATAGTCCTTGATGTCAATATGAGGTGACCTACCTATATTTATAGTCCTTGATGTCAATATGAGGTGGCCTTCCTATATTTATAACTCCTTGGTGTCACTATGAGGTGACCTAACTATATCTATAGTTCCTTGATGTCATTATGAGGTGACCTAACTATATTTATAGCTCCTTGATGTCACTATGAGGTGGCCTTCCTATATTTATAGCTCCTTGATGTCATTATGAGGTGGCCTTCCTATATTTATAGCTCCTTGATGTCACTATGAGGTGGCCTTACTATATTTATAGCTCCTTGATGTCACTATGAGGTGGCCTTACTATATCTATAGTTCCATGATGTCACTATGAGGTGGCCTTACTATATTTATAGCTCCTTGATGTCACTATGAGGTGGCCTTACTATATCTATAGTTCCATGATGTGACTATGAGGTGACCTATACATTTTGCTCCGACGTATCACTTCCAGATAGCCTCAATAATGTCACTATATGACTTACAAGTTTACTTGCAGGGCGTCTGTGGCCAAGTGGTTAAGGTCGTTGACTTCAAACCGCTTGCCCCTCACCGCTGTGGGTTCCAATCCCCGACAGGGATTTTGAATTCTTTCATGTGAGGTAGCTATCCAGCTAGCTTACAGAACGTCGGTGGTTCTACTCAGGTGCCCGTTTGTGCCTTAGATAATGCAAGGAAGGGCACTTGAGGTCTTCCTCCACCAGTAAAGCTGGAACGTCGCGATATGACCTATACTGTGTCGGCGTCACGTAAAACACAATCAAACAAACAAGTTTACTTGATTGTTTGATATCAACATGAGTAACCTACAGTATTTTGCTCCTTGATGTCACTATGATGTAATCTACCTATCTAAATCCTTGATAACAAACACAAGGTGTGACCTGCCAGTATTTTGTAACCATTATGACACTTGATTGTGACCTTTTATTTAAATCATTGATATCACACCAAAGGTATAACTTGCCAGTATTCTGTACCATAATGACACTTAATGGTGACCTACCTATATTTCAATCCTTGATTGCACACTAAAAGTGTGACTTGCCAGTATTTTGTAATCATAATGACACTTGATGGTAACCTACCTATATTTAAATCCTTGATAACACAAGGGGTAACTGTACAAAAATGACACTTGATGGTGACCAACCTATATTTAAATCCTTGATAATACACTCAAGGGGTAACTGTCCCAAAATGACACTTGATGGTGAGCTACCTATATTTAAATCCTTGATAATACACTCAAGGGGTAACTGTACAAAAATGACACTTGATGGTGACCAACCTATATTTAAATCCTTGATAATACACTCAAGGGGTAACTGTCCCAAAATGACACTTGATGGTGAGCTACCTATATTTAAATCCTTGATAATACACTCAAGGGGTAACTGTACAAAAATTACACTTGATGGTGAGCTACCTATATTTAAATCCTTGATAATACACTCAAGGGGTAACTGTCCCAAAATGACACTTGATGGTGACCAACCTATATTTAAATCCTTGATAATACACTCAAGGGGTAACTGTACAAAAATGACACTTGATGGTGACCAACCTATATTTAAATCCTTGATAATACACTCAAGGGGTAACTGTCCCAAAATGACACTTGATGGTGAGCTACCTATATTTAAATCCTTGATAATACACTCAAGGGGTTACTGTCCCAAAATGACACTTGATGGTGACCAACCTATATTTAAATCCTTGATAATACACTCAAGGGGTAACTGTCCCAAAATGACACTTGATGGTGAGCTACCTATATTTAAATCCTTAATAACACACACAAGGGATAACTGTACAAAAATGACACTTGATGGTGAACAACCTATATTTAAATCCTTTGTGTAACCTGCCAGTGTTTTGTGCAATGATGACACTTAATGGTGACCTACCTATATTTAAATCCTTAATGTCACTATGAGGTGAGTCAGCTATACTGATGATATTACTGTTACTACTCTCATCATCTGCCAGGTTGATACAAACCTCCTTTGACATCTGGTCAAGGATTTCACTCTGATGAAGACTGGCTGTGCTCATTGTGCTGGTAAGTGTTGGAGATGCAGTAACTTTAATGCCTGTTATGTACACAGAAAAAAATCTTGATACAAACAAAGGAAGGACTAATTTTATCCTTTAAAGGCACATAAAGCCTTAGAAATGAATACATAAATTTTTCTTAAAGAAAAGGCACACATATTTTTTTATAATGATGATGTAATATGTGGGACGCTGATCATCTAGTATATATAGTAGTGTTGAACTGTGAAATAAGTTTTCATAAAGATTTAGCAAAATGTAAACAAAGTATTATTTTAAATACCCTACAAAATATTAACACACTCAGGACTTCAATTAGTAGAAGCTTGGCTTCTGACTTCCAAAATGTTATGCTTTTCCTTCTTTACCCATATAATGTGACTTCCAATGTCACTAAAGCAATACTACATTTGTAATTGCAAAAATACTAAAGAAGTAAAAGATGTCTTAGCTATATAGCAAATGAGTATTCTTTTTGAAAATGTTTAAATAAAAAGCTTTTGAAAAATTGAAATTTCAGGCTTAATTGGCCTTAAACAAAATGCTTTGAATTCAAGGTAAATCACACAATTTTTTATGTTTAATTTTTTTGGATTGTCATTTATGGTGCCATAGGTTTCTGGAGTAAAATTTCTAATGGAGAATAAATATATAAATATCAAAATCAATGTTAATATCATCAAGTATGGAAGTATCTTATACCAGTCTGTAGGACATCTGGTATGGCGATCTCTGTAGCGGAAGCCGTTTTAGATCTACTGTAGCGTGTAAACCGTTCCTCCATCTTTTCAACATCAGCCGTCGTAAACAATTTCTTGTCTTTTTTTATCTTTTTCATGAGAAATGTCTCCTCCATATGCTTAGCTTTGTCCTTGTCAACACATAGTTTTCCTGCTCCACTGCCTATTGGTGATAAACACGGATATGGGTATGGGCTTCTTGAGGGACTCCGGCATTCTGCACCACCTTCAAGCTGGCCTAGGAAGTTTTCCAATGTGCTCGTCGGCCGTGATTCATGAGGATTACTAGCGGCAGACCGTGTGCGTAACTCGTCCTGAGCTCCTGGACTTCCTATCTGTAAATACAAGGCAAATTTCTTTATTGAATAAAATGTGAACAACCGTAAAAGATGAAAATATTCTCCTAGACATGACTAATCGTTATTTCTAGAGCCACTTATATTTTATAAATAGGCAAAATCATATGCTTATAGAAATAAGTCCAATTTGTTTGTATCAAACAATGATGTCTGTAACAATTAGGTTTCCAACATCAAAAAAACATTGATAAAATTATTTTAAGCAGACATTGTAACCAATCCTTTGGTGGAGTTGTTAAAACCTTCCATGGTTAAAAACCTCCAAATAAATTTACTTTAAGTTATCCAATAATTGTCAAAAACATATCAAATTTGGAGTCTGTCCTTCATTTGAGGTGACATCAAAATTTAAAAAAATTATGTATGACTTCTAATTGAAAAACAATCATAATTTTTGGCATGCACAGGTGAGTTAAATACCAAAGTTTTTCTATTTGTTTGTGTGTGTTTAAAGTCATATTGCTCTTTCCAGCTTTACTGGTGGAGAAAGACCTAAGGTACCATTCTGTGCATTATAGCAGGCACATGAGTAGAGCCACAGACCATCCATAAGCTAGCTAGATAGCTTTGTCGAATGAAAGAATCTAAAGTTCCTAGTGGGATTCAAACCTACAGTAGTGAATAACAAGTAAACAGCTTGGCAACAAAGGCCAATTCATGTTTTCCAGGCATCAAAAAGTATTTTAAGAGTCACTTCTAAATCCAATGTGCAGGCAAAATTTTACTACTCATCCTGCATTGAATTCTGCTATATTCTACTCGTATTTAAGTGGAATTTTTGATCTCTGTTTTAAACTTCATTAAAAGAACTAATGAGTATGTAACCTGTGAGAGTTGTTTGGCAAGTTCCTCGTCTTTCTCTTGTAAGGACAGAAGTTCTTTTTGTTGTTTCTCTTCCTCTTCTTGTAGTTGTTGTATTAACTTCTCACTAGCTTCCTGCTCCCTCCGTCTCTCCTCTGCTCTCTGCTCCTGTAACTAAAATCACATGCTCATTTATATACAGTGTTGTGATTTAAACTTTTTCCGCATTTAACTATATTCTTGACATTGGCATAGTAGCACTAATGTTTACCATTCCAAGGGCCCAGGACACCATTCAAAAAGACTATTAAATGTTAAAAAAGAATACCTGTTTTCATTCATGACATTAGGATATTTAACATGGTACAGGTCAACAAACAAAAGCTGAGCTTTAGGCAATAACATGGATGTCCTTTTTACAGGACACCTGCTACCATTTAAATGATTGATGTTTTGGTGATTTTTTGCTATTTTTAGACATTACAATAAATATTACAAATTTATCATTCCATAACAAACCTGTATCAATAATCACATGAAATTATTATTATAATTATCCATACCTTTTTCAATTGCTGTTCATATTCGTTTCTTATTTCACCAGGTTCTGCTAGCTTTATAGAAATATTCAAAGCTGAAAAAATAACAATGCCTTTATTATATAATATTCAAGTAAATAATTTACACACCTATAATATTTATATTAAAACACATTGTTGACTCATCTTTTGTGACTGGTAGTGTACCATGAAGTAATAATGGTAAAAGTTTTGTGGGATAGCTTGGACCCACATTTGCCGAGTTCTGGATAACATCTTTCCATAAACGTTTACATAATGTTTAACTGATCGAAAAAGAACCAAGTTTTCAATAAAGTCATATTTATAATCACCTTAATTTCAACTATCTCTAATTACTGTATTGTTATATTGTATTAACCCAAAGCCATTTTCATCATTCAGCCTCTGAAAGACTGTTTTGAGTAAAAAGATAACACCGGATAGGTTTCATTCCATTCAAAGCAACTCTAGGTTGAGTAGCATACATTAGTAGGTAAAATATTTCTTTTATCCAAATTATTTTTTTAAAGAACATAATAATTTTTCACATTTGAAATATGGATTTCAAAAAGAACATGAATCCTTTAATTTGTTTAAGTTTAGAATGAAAGTTTCTTCAACATTTATCCCAGTTTGTATAATTATTCACAATGCAAAAATAGATATCAAGATGTGATACTCATTTTAAGACAAGTTAAAAAACAACTCTACATTTGTTGAGTGATTCTTTTTACATTTTCATCAGTGTGGGTTCTAGGACTTGCAGGTCCCAAAATTTAATCAGAATGTCCAATTTACGATTTTGGTGGGTAGCTAGCAGGAGGGAAAGAAACAATATTTATTCAAGGCTTTGGATTCTACCAGTATTACTCACCATTCATCTCAGGATCCTCTTCCTCCACACCTTCCTGACGTTTACGGATTTGTTCTGGGAAGTTTCTCTGAATTTCTTCCCATCTCTCAATGTTAACTAGTTTCTTTGTTCTAGCTGCCCTTCTTGCCCATGTTGATATTCTTGTTCTATGTAACACAATTATAAATAGAATTAATTTGCTTAAATGTGTGAAGTGTGAAATAACATAAACTCATAGAGTGGTCGTATTAAAATATATTTCAAAGTAACCATGATTTGTGTAACTTTTTTTTGCAAATAAAACAACCATGTTCATTTTTCAACCCAAAATATAGTCAAAACATTTTAGCAGTTTGCTAGTTGTGTCAAGTTATGGCTGCGCTATTTTTGTTGGATATTTTCCGTACCGCTCCATACTGTCAACAGAAATTTAACTGTTTGTAAATAAATAGGATTGTTTTTTTTGTTATGTATGTGTAATAATTGAGTAAAGTAAGATAATTTTTGTGTGCAGCTAATGTTGATTAAGACTTGTGTTCGGCGAACTGTGTCACCAATAACTGAATTACTGATGAACATTTATTATACCCAAGGAATGTATCCAAAATATTTATCACCTAACATAATGATAATATGACCTTTTTAAATTATTAAACATGTGCTGTTACTGTTATCTGTGCATGAATGGTACCTTTTCATCATGTATCTGTTCAGGTATGTTACGTCGTAGAAGGACCATTTCTGGTATGATTCTACGGGGGATATTTCTCCACAGTATTAGAAAATGTTGAAGCTTTTATTTTAACTATAAATATGTCCATAGAACTCTAAAGACATTGGCCGGGGCATTCACTTGATATAAGGCCATACTGCATTGTTCAAAGAAAAAGACTCATTTGATAAATACTTGGTAATTATGAAATATTGCGGAAATTATGCATTGTTCAAAGCAAAAGACTCATTTGATAAATACATATACATAATTATACAAAGTATAAAACAAAATAGGTTAAATAACTTCTTTATGATCCAATTCATTGCCCAGGGTTGTCATTAACATTTTTTGCAGAAGGTTTGTTTTGAACTTGAGGCGGTTATTTCTGTCTTTATCATGCATAACAAAAGAGTGTTTTCTTAATTTTGAGGCGGCCCATAATGCATTTGAGACAGGCATTTTGGCCTCCTGCCGCATCTTAATGATAACCCTGATTGCCCCAACATCTGTCAGCATACATTTCATTCAGATTTCAAAGGAAACTTCAAAGTATAATGTTCAGTGTCACAGAATTGTCAAAGTATTCATGACAGAAACAGAATATTAAATCCAAATATATGGCATTAAGGTTCTCTTGCGCAATAATTTTGAGCAAAATGAAGATGTTGGACACATTTCTGTTAAGGATTTTACATTGCAACATATTTTTTAAGGACTTCAAAAGTTATACATGTGTCATATGAACCACAGGAGCTTGAAATTCTATCAATAATTGCCCTAAAGTCAAATTCCCAAAAAAAATCCATACCCTATATATAAAGTGTTTTTTTTTATATATAGGGTATGGATTTTTTTGGGGAATTTGACTTTAGGGCAATTTTTGATAGAATTTCAAGCTCCTGTGTATGAACATGAAAAGGGGAAATAATTCTCATAAAATTGACAGAAACCAATTATTTTTCTTTCTGTTTATGTCATATATTATGCTCAATAAACAAACAAAGTTAAAAATAAATATCTTTATTATATTTCTAGAAATATGTTTTTTATGGCATAAATTATCATAGTAAACATTGTAAAGATAACTGAATAATTTGTAGGCGGCAAACTAACAAATTATACCTGCACATAGGGCAGCAAAAATTCGCCTCCTCAACGTTTTGTTTGAAACAAGACAAGCATAGCTCATGCTCACACGGCATGGTTACCGGTTGTATAAATATATACAAACATATCGGACAGATATTGTCCTCTAGCTTCATTATTCCGGTTATTTTGACAATATTTTGATGTTGTTGATTTATTTCTAGACCGGAAGTTATCAATGACGCGCATTCATTAAACCCAAAGTTTTATAACTACAAACATTGATCAGTAACTACGCAAAATAGTTTGTGTTCGCTCAACCAGTTGGCATGCATATCCTTTGCTCGTGTTAAATAGAATTATTATATTCATAGCGAACTATTTCGTTTTTCCATTCGAGATGTGGTAGCCGCCTTGCATGAAAAGCTGCAAAACGATCGACTTTGTGACGTTCATTGTTGTGTGTTAGGGAGACAATTGTAAGACATACACCATGCTTAGAATCCAACCCTTAAAAGGCTTTTACACCGGTTTGCATATACATTTGAAAAGTGACACAAGGGACATAAATAGATCCACAGATATATAAACTCAATGAAAGATCTAAATATAATCCTCCGTTTGAAAATAGGACTTATTTCAATACTTGCTTGAATTAACATTAATTTAATTAGCATTGTTAAAGCAACCATTCAATGGACAGTTAACAGATCTAATTGAACTACATCTCTTTAAACTCCTTACGTACTTATGGTAGATGAATTACATAAAATACTAAACTGCTAGCACAAGAAATTGTGACAAATGAAAACGAACTGGTATTTCATTTATAAATTAACAAAATGGTCAGGAAATACCTCGGCATTCCCAGAAAGATTACTTAGCCGTTATTAGCAGGTGGGATAATATGATATCCCAAATGCTCATAACATCGTAAAATCAATACAATCAAACCCACGTACTCGGCAATCTACTGGAAAAATAAGATTTAATCTGTTTTATTGTAGTCAAATTACGTCATCACTGTTTTCATTTCCAAGTACAAAAGGCATGAAAACAGACATAAACGATGAGAGGGGCTTATAAATAATGTGGTGTTTATAAGAACTCAATATTTTGAATTTCATGTCCAGTGACAATATGCTTTTTGATATTTCTGGCATATCTAACATTTTCATTTAATAAGAATGGCCAGGAATATGAATAAAATGCTAAAAAAATATGAACTTAACTTGTAATTAAAAAATAATATCTGTCCATCTAGCTTAAGTTTAATGTTTCATTACCTTTTGGTAATAAATAAGTTCGAGCATAATTTTCAACTTTAGAAATTCAAAGCAACTTCATAGACAGATTCACTTAGGCAATTTAAATTTGAACATTTGTCAGAGTCATTGACTAAGAAAAAAACATGTCGCGATAATTTAGAACCTAGTTCAGTATCATCGAGATGAGAGAATTCACGAAACTTCCAAAAATAATTAGGAACTAAACAAACGTTCTGATCTCATTACAATTAAAATGATATAAGAATCAGTTAAAACTAGACAAGTAGATGTGTTTAATAAATTGACATTACTTGTACCAAAGTCAAAATTTTACATAGCGAACACAAATGGAAAAGAAAATGCAGCTCTTTCACGTAATTAACAATTGAAAAATAGCAAATGATATTTTCCCGGGGTAGTGGTCAGCTTTTCATATTTTGTTGTAGTGTAACAGGATTACCTCCTGTTTTTGCCCAGATTCCTTTGTTAAATTATTTTCAAACAGAAAGTACAAATAAACAAGTATAAGGTTCAATTATGTATTAATTTCATATTAATAGTCTAATTTTTAATCTAAAGTAACTGGTATTTAACAACTTACATCTTTAAACTCTCAACAACGATATAACACTTTATTTTACCTAACTAACAAGCCATAATTTTGAAGTATTATAATTGACAATGATTTTTTAGCATTTTAAGATTTAGAAACCCTGGCCAAAAAAAATTATAATTCCCTTATTTTCAACTAGAAAAGTTCTAACAAGAGGTAAAATGTACCTTTCGAGTGCTGTGAACCAGCGGCTAAAATGAACATTTTCCGTCAATTCATACCCTTTATATACAATTCATACAAAAATGCATGAAAATTCCATGAACAAGTTTAACATATACTAAGGAGATTAATAGAAGTAGCTACTGGTTTAAATGATAACTGCCTGATACATGTGTATACTATGTAAACAATATAGTCAATCTAAATTAAATTAATACAATGCTTATTGAGCAACCCTTGATAGTGAAATGATTGTGTATTGTAAAGATGCATGTATTTTTTCAACGTGTAATTTAGCACTGCAGTAAAGAAATAAATCTGTTAAATAGTTTACTTCCATATAATGTCTAAAATAAAGATTAATAAAAGAAATAAAACTCATTCCTGACACAGATTTTATTTCATTAGGATATTTTATGTATGCGTGATTGAATATAAATATGTTTATCGATATTTTTAAATATCTAAACCATTTTGAAAAGTTACATTCTGCTGCTATGTATTATCCATAGACAATTCAAAACATTTCCACTTCATACCCTGAATTGTATTCACAAATTGTACTAGGTGCCTATTATACTAACCGGAAACAAGTTACATCACTAAAATTTTACAAAACTAAATTATAACTAAAATTAATTAGATTCTATAAGTCTAACAAAAATAACGATTTACATTTTATTACCATACTAGCAACAAGTAGTTTGGAACCCTTCAATATGTTGAATAAGTGCACTTGGCACCAATAATGACATCAAGTCAAGTCTTGCAACCTTCTTAGTGGTATTTAGCGTACCCTTGTGGTTTTTACGCAAGCGTTTTGACGATTGCGCATGCTAATTGAAATTACTTATATATCACTTTGTCATGTTCTCTCGGGTGTCATTTATTTCTCTGAAATTCATTAAGCGAACAAGTATAATCTTAAATTGTTTAAACTTTTTAAATGAGATGAAAGTTTTTAATTTGTTAAAATTTGGTTGAAAATTATTGAATGTTGAAGTGTTTCATCTTTATCAATAAACGCTTATTAGATTACTCTGGGAAAGCGCAAGCGCAAACTATTCGAGCGCGTATTTCAAAACGGTTTAAATCCACTGCAGTAGATATGGAAAAAGAAATTAAGAGCTGTCATCGTGGAGCACTAATAGTCTTTGAAGGTGTAGACAGGAGTGGTAAAACTACCCAGTGCAATCTGCTCCAGAAAAATCTAAATGCTGATGGTGGAGATGTACAACTACTGAAGTTTCCAGGTTGGATAGACACGTTCTAGATTAGAACTTAATATGACCCTTTCTATATGTTTTGAATCGTTATGCTTTCTAATTTCTAAATGTAATTTAAAAGAAAATTTCTGAAAGCCATAAAAATAGGCACAAAATACTTATAGATCTCAGTGTTGCATCTAGAATTTCAAAATTATGGGGGATTGTCCCCCACTCAATTGAAAAATGTGGGGGATTTGAAAAAAATGTGGGGGACATACATTTACCTTACAATATGACATACCGAAAAGAATTCATTTATTTTCCGTTCAGGCATTTTTGACAGTTATTGTCCGCTCAAAAACAGAAGTAGAAAAAATAAAATATTGACGAATACTACAAAACACACGCGAGATGACTCAGTCGGCTGCTACACGCGATTTAGTACGTATTTTAGTCATAACCACGAGTGAAAACAAACATGGCTGAAGTGTTTGAGATATTTCTTAGATACGATGAAGATAAACTGAATTAAGTTGAAAAGATCATCAGATGCGCGACTTGGCGCGCACTGACTTCATTGAAATGCGCGATCTGCATAAAAAATGCGCAAATCGCGCAATCGCGCGGCCTAGATGCAACACTGGACCTATTTAATCTAAATCATATCAAGTAAACTAATCCATGTTTTATACTTTACAGTTTAATGTAAAATTTATGTACTGTATGTTCTATTTTTTTCATTGTATTGTCACAGACAGAACAACAGTAATAGGTCAGATGATAAACGACTACCTTGCATGTAAGAAAGAAGTTGAAGATCATTCCATCCATTTACTTTTCTCTGCCAATAGATGGGAGAGTGTGTAAGTATTGTTTTAGGAAAAAAATCTCCATTATAATCTCTGTTTGGAAAAGAAATACTTCTCCTTGATTAGATCAGTATCTGTGAAGCAAAGTCTTTTTTTCCCTCAAAAGTTTCTTTTTTTTTGCTCTTTTTTTTTCAAGTGAATAAAGGTTGTTTTGCCATTACTACGCTGGCATTTGTCGTTTGCATTGGTTAACTATTCCGGATACAGCCGATAAGTTCAATGCTAACAAAGCTATACAAAAAATCTTTATGTGTAAATGCACCTTGATGGGTTCTTCCTGTCACACCAATTTTGAGGTCCAATCAAGGTCATTGTACCGTACAATAGGCAATAGCTTATAGTTTATTTTCTCAGAATGCACTACAGCTATTAACTTTAATGTTATGCCCCTTTTGACTTGGATAATCATTATTTTGCTTAACCTATTTTTTTGTAAGATTATTTTCTCAAAAACTATTCAAGATATTCACTTAAAACTTGTTAGAATTCAGGTAACCCTTAAGGTTATTTTTGTTTAATTATCTCCCTTTCATATCCTGATATTAATGTAATTGTCATAGATATCACTTCAAACATTTGTTTACCATCAAAGGCAGATAGTTCTGCCAAACAATTTTTCAAAATTTTGCCACCCTTTACACACACTATCAGGTACTAAGAAAAAGGAGTGTCGGTGATTTTTCTCTATAAAAATTGGGAAAAAAGGCCTAGAAGTCTCTTATTTTGGAAAGAATTTTCGCTACAATTGATTATTTGGGAAGTAAGAAAGCTGATGTAAGTTCAGATTTTTAGGAAAAACTGCCTGATTTTAAAGAAAATTTCCATTGGAAAGAGGCCTTATAAATATATAGGCATTCAATACATAAGGTAAAAAATCACAGAGGTTGATGTCACTGCTGTGCCTCGGACAGCTCTTGTGTATTTTTGCAGTTAATCTGAAAATAAGGTCCAGTAGCTAACTGTAGTGGAGATAATTTTGTATTAATTTCTGTAATTTTTGGATTTTCATTTAATATATATTTCAGGCCTACGATGCTGGAGTTGTTGAACAAAGGCACCACACTTATCATTGATAGATATGCCTTCTCGGGCGTTGCTTTCACTGCAGCTAAGCCTGTGAGTAAATTTTTAGAGATTTATTTTTATGCTTTTTAGGCTTTAAATATCACATCTTTCACACGTGTTTTCACATTTTAGTTTGAAGACTTCTGTTCAAGTAAAATGTTGATTTACATGCTTGTCAAGACTCTTACCACTAATGCCAAATCAAACGGAAGTTGTTATAATTGTATTGTATGTCTCAAAAAAATATGTAAATGTACATGTAGCACTTCCTATTTTAATAGTTTGGTAGAAATATGGGGATAAAGGTAGAAAATTCTGCCTATTTTTACATAACATATATTGTGTTTTATGTACACCGAGATTCACTTAATTTTGGGGTGTTTCTTTGTTTCATGACCAAAGACATCTTTGTGGGGTCTTTGATTTGTGGATTGTCAAATTGTGCAAAAGAGTAAAATACAAATAATGTAATGTAAAATAATCTTACTGTAGGTAAAATGATATTTTGTTGGATTGTAAATTCATGGATCAACTTATCCACCAAAAATACAAAAAATGTACCCAAAGAATAAATTATAATGATTTTAGAGTATACAGTCATTTAATTATTAAAATATGAAGTTATATATTTTGAAGCTTTGCTTGTACATCTTTTTGCTTTAAAGTTCATTAATTTTATTTCAATATATTTGCTGATATTCCCTTTCCATATGAAAAAAGATAAACACAATTACAAAAATCACTTTTATCCCATGACTTTAATAACAAAATTATCATACTGTGATATTTTTGTTGCAGGGTTTTAAGATAGATTGGTGTAAACAGCCAGACATAGGTCTGCCACGCCCAGATGCTGTTCTTTACTTGACCTTGAGTAGCGAGGTAGCGGCCAAACGAGGAGGATTTGGTATAGAAAGATACGAACAAACCGACTTTCAAAAAAAAGTAGCAAGCAATTTTGAACTGTTAAAAGATGAAAGCTGGCAGGTGGGTAGAACTTAATTTATGATAAAAAATATTGAAGTTTTGGATAGAAAATGAGATTAGAATTCAAAAGATAGTTGTATGTAGAACAGTAAAGGGTTAAGTTTCCAATGTCTAGAAATTGCTGGTCTTTATACACGGAGGCTGGTTCAACAGGTTTTTCTAGCACTGGTGTAAACAATAGACAGTCCTGTCTTCATCATTATATTTATACCAGTTTACCAGGGTATGTTTGTTAATAATATAAAATTTTGTCTGTTTTAGTTGATAGATGCTGACAAATCAGTTGACGATCTACACAAAGAGTTGAAGAATATTTGTAACAAGACGATCGAAGATGTTCAAAACAAGCCAATATTAAAACTTTGGACGGAGGGAGAAATCGAGTGCAAAACGAAATCTTGAGTTTTTGGTATAAATTATAGTAGAAGAATTCCAAAGCATGTGTTAAATTAATATATATATAATTGCATTGCCTAACACTTACAGTTATTGTTTGAATTATTGGAATTATTTGTGATCAGCTTTGAATTGAGATATGGTTTCAGTCTTTCAAAGCATGTGTTACTGTTTATATGCAAACTGTGATGAAATTCATCATTTCAGATTTTGAAAGATCATAGATATTTATTTCATTTTTGCACGGTTAAGAAAATTTTAAGACTGCATTCTAGAACTGAGGTCCAAAGGCCGAAAAACATAAACTTTGAAAATCTTAGAAATTAAGAAATATCAAGTGAGGCACTTTAACTGGAAACTCTGCAACATATTACACAGAGATAGGCTCAGAATTGAATTGAAATTTGATTTTGTGATGCTTAGACGGATTTGAATTGAAAGTGTTGAAACGCTTCTCATTTTTGGCTATAAAAATGATTTTTATGGAACAACAAAGTGAGGAAATGACCAGAAAATTTGCATACAAGTTATTGGTCCAGATCTTCATCAATTAGTACACAAAACTCGGAAAAATATTTTGAGTCCAAAAACCTCAGTGGATTCCCTTTAAAAAAGGAAATTACAGGCGTCACCTTTTCTATGTCATGAACATACAAATAAGCATAGAGTATTCAGAAACTCTTAAATATATGGTATATGGGAATATTCTCGTAAGTTGTAGTAGCCAGTATTTTGTTGATTTTCCTAATTCTCCCTATTGTGATTTTTATGGAGATATCTATGATATTACTACAGTTTGTTTGATTTAGACTCAGTTTGGTTGTTGCAAATCTTCATTCTTTTGTGGTTTTTATTGGAAAATGATTGAAGGAGTACCTATATTCCTCTTTGTTTCTCAGGAATTCGTTAGATCTTTGGTTATAACAGTGAATTTATAAAGGGATATTTTAAATGGTATATACATGTAGGCGACAGTTCCCATTGAAAGAGAATTATTTAAGAAGGGTTATTGTAAACCTAGTTAAAAATCAATAATCCAGGTATTGGTAATCAACAGAAATTTCTATAAATGTCTTAAAATGTGTTGGTAACGCTCGATCATTAAAAGGGGGGCAGACATTTTTATAATTTAGGCAGGTTTTTTTTTGTATCATGCACATTTTTCATTACTAATTAATGGTCAGTCACCATTTTAATAGGCAACCTTTTGAAATGTATTACTAACCTGAATTGAACTAAAGTTGACAGCAAAGAAAAATTAGCATAATGTCACTTTAAAATTTCATTCTTGGCTTTTTTGAATGCTTTATAATATTAGACAATGCAAACAAGCACAGAACATTTTAAATTTTGACAGTTTGAAGGTTACGAAATTGTGCGATTTTGTACAAAATTTTACCATTACATAGAAAATCAATTTGTATTTATGTATCAGTTTAATATATTCATTCAAAACATAAAATCTTACTCGTTTTTCAAACTACAGTAGAACTTCCGTGAGTCAAAGTTGAAGGGACTTGTGCAAAAACTTTGACACATTCGGACTTTGACTCATGAATCAGTCTCAATTAAATGAATTTTTTATTGAGCATTCAATGTTTTCAATGGAGTAACAAAAGGCGTAACAAAAGTTAAGGGCGATCACTTAACCAGCTTAAAGTAAATATATTCTGTGATTATCATGTGACACCGGTCTTGGAGGTTCGCTAACAAAACTTAGTTGTACTGTATATTTTAGAATAGTTAATACAATTGTATCTGTCTCACTATCTTTTTCCGTTTCACAACTTTCACACTGCTTGGCATTTTTTACAACTTGTTGCATCAGGTTCAAAGTATCCCTTCAATAATGTTTCCGACCTATGTCCATTTCTTTTCTCAACAGTTCCCAATGGTGTCATTGTAGATGATTTGTACCATATGTTTATATGTAACATATCTTTTTTAGTTCAAGGTTCAGATTAATCTGAAGTATATGTGCTGAATAAGAACTATACTGAAGTAACTTCTAGAACAATTTCTTATTTTTCAGGTTAGGGTACATGCAAACAGGAGTACTTCTTTCTACTGACTCCATAATTACCCAACAGTATTGTCCATTATTGAAAATAATGATAAATATATTCAATTTCGCGAAAATATATCACACTAACTTCGGCCCCGTGCAAACGCAATATTCTCAACTACCGGTGCTTATGTTAGATCATCTCGGTCTCTTTACCCTACTCTTAAAATTAATCCCACCTCCTTCACTTTTCATCTTTAATTTCTCACAATTCTCCATGTTGTTCAATACAAACTCTGGTACCGGTACACTTGATATTTCACTTAAATAAAGCTCGCTCTTGAAGATATATCTGAGCTCTTAAAAATCCCAATTTATTAGATTTATAAATAAATAAAATAGATTTATTTTCTCATTAATTGCCTCACCTTGTGGAAACCGCAGCCATCACCTAGGTCATAGGACCACTATGTTTTTACAGCTACAACAGTTTGAATAATATCAATAATGCATTTTATCATGTGTGAACGCATAAAAAGGCTATAAGAATACACTGCTGTGTAATTAACATATATGTACAAGCTATTTAATATAGTGTCCATAATTAACTTTTGATATATTGATACAAAATTATCCATCAATGACAGCCCTAAAATAACCAGAAGAAATTGTTGTCAGATTCATGAGAAAATATATAACATGTTTTTCAATTTTATTTGTTATCAGTAACTTAATACATGTTCATTATAGCTTTCAAATAAATACGTGCTCTATACTCCTGTTTTTTTCATGCGCCAATATTCTTGTAATTGTGTTATTTTCTGCCATGTACACTGGAGCCGCGATATAGCGCTCATGTTGGGGTCCATGATCTCAAGACAGCGTTGTAACGAGTAACTTTTTATAACGCTCATTTTGTAATTATAGCGAAAATATCGCATTACCCCACCCACCGCCGAAACATATAACGCTTGTTAGTGGAATTGATTGTTTACTTACCTTCCAATGGATATCAGTCCAAGCTTTTTATATATTATTATTAATTATTTTGTAAAGCATTACTGAATATCTTTAATATAAACATGAAATTTACGAATTAAAAATATAAACCACGAATGAATGTTTATAAATTTCCAGTAAAACAGCGGTGTTAACGTGAGTTATGTGTGGTCATGAAAATTGATACCTAGTGGATGGGACTAAATTAATCGTCTTTCCTGCTGTCTCTTGTGAAAAAATCAGTCATCCTCAACAACTTTTTTGCAGATAGATCGAAAGTGCATGCTTTTTAAAATTAATTGTATGCTTGGGTGATTTACTTAACTCGTCGGTGTTTGCATGTCTTAGCTAACAGTTTGATACCTGACTGATCAACAGTTCAAAATGAACAAAAGAGCGGATTAACGCTTACCTGTGTATGACTTCACACCTTCTTATCATGAGTGACGTAATTATGACTGTTTATTGCACTCGACTGACACATTGAACAAGCGTTATAGTGGATAAGGTGCGGTATTGATATACATGAAAAAAAAATTATAATGGGCGAAAAATACGATTTTTTTTTTGGGAGCCAAGGCATATGAGCGTTCTACTGAGATAAGCGCTATACCGATGAGCGCTATATCGCGGCTCCAGTGTATATGGTTTTTCAACATTTCCTTTTTCTTTAAGTCTCTATCTATAAGCTCTCATCCTGATTTTCGTCTTTTCGATTTCTTGTTGTTTATCTGTCAGGGATTGGCGATACCTTTTCTTGATGAAGACTAAATGCCTTGAAACTTAGGGCTACAAATCACTGAAACTTTACAGTTACTGAAAAACAACAACACCTGATTTAACACTTAACAAGTATATCTTGGCCACAACTTTCAGGAACTTTGATGTTATTCAGTTCCTGTGCATCATCGGTGCTCCGCAATTGCTCCAGCTCTGCATGGAGTCTACTACGTATACTTTGGTTGGTGGTACCTGGTGGGTAATTTTTCCTGTACCTGTTCAGCTTAAATAGAGACAAGTTCAGATTCAGTATAGAGAAGTGGCATCAGGGCATACAGTTAAACAAATCTCTCACTGCCTTGTCATTGATTTGACGATGCGTGCATTTGTCCTTGAAATTAAATTGTTTTATGCTGCAGTAGTTTACAGCAATGTGGCAAAGATTGTAACTGATGGAGGTCAGAACGTAACAAAGCCCGATGATGCTGAACGTTGTTTATTATCATAAAAGCTGAAACCAAACAAAAAACATTGTTATTTTACAATCTTTCAGCTAACAAAGACAAGAATAAGTTAAATTGAGTTCACAAAATAAAAATAATCATATACTTAATCAGTTAACATGTATGTAGGTTACATAATATCTATAAGTATGACATAGTTGTTCATGGTCTTACAATATTCATGAAACTTCTTAGAAGATATGTACAGTAAAGACTGTTTACAGTGACCTTCAATGGGAGAAAAGAAAAAAGGTCATTATAGACAGGGAGTCACTGTGGACAGTCTCTACATAATTCGGATATATGAACATATCATACCAAAAACAAATTTTGTTGAAAAGCAGGACAGTACCATACTAAGGGTTTAATTATATTTTTATTGATAATAAACATATCAAATATCATTTATAAAAAAAAACAAGAGAGTATTAAATTGCATGTATAATTGGTTAAGATTATAAACTACACCATAACATTAGTATTTAAAAGTTACATATTCATTAAAATGTAATTTATATTGATAAATCTGTTTGTAAAAAAAATGTTTTATTTCAATTTTACTAATGAGATGTTACTGTAGAGACATTTAATTTTGTATAATCAGCCTGTTTACTTTACGGAGTTCAATGTATTAATAAATCATTAGATACAAGTCTCCACATAATTTCTGCAGATAAGTGCTCCGAAAAAAATTAACAATCGAGGTTTCAAACATAACCACACCTTTAAGACGTTTGGCATTGTTTATCTTTACTCGCCAAAACACCGCAGCAATTATGTATATGCAGGTGTCTTTAATCATTTTATCGGCGAAAATTGATTGAATCTGTCGCCATTTTGTGTAATTGTCAACAAACAGCCACAGTGTATTAGCGTGGTGCCGATTGGTCAATGCAAACTGCCGTAGATACAACATGTACAACGCGCGTTCTGATTCGTCAATCGCTTGAATACGTAATGAGAAAGATATACATAGTGAACTCTTGCCTTGCGGCGTGTATTGAAGTTTGTTGATGTTGACACGCGTTCTTAATAAGCGGATTAACGGTAATTGGTTGTAATTGAGAGATAAACAAATTATTAACAGACCTAGCGGCGTAAATAAGTATGACGGGAAATTGTAAAAATCTCTTTGAAGCAAAGTTGCTGATCCGAAGGCGACTTCTTCGCCAAAGTCGTCACCTAGTTCAAGCCTTGCTC